ATTGGCTTTCTTGGCAGCCAGGGCACACTGCTGGCTCATGGTTAACCTGTCGTCCACCAGCACTCCCAGGTCCCTCTCCGCAGAGCTGCTCTCCAGCAGGTCCGCCCCAAGCCTGTACTGGTGCATGGGGTTGTTCCTCCCCAGGTGCAGGACCCTGCACTTGCCCTTGTTGAACCTCATCAGGTTCCTCTCTGCCCAACTTTCCAGCCTATCCAGGTCACGCTGAATGACTTCTGGTATTTTGGCTGCTAATACCCCTTATGAGTAACCAGTTCTCATTTCTACTAGATTTCCCACCTGTTAGCAACAGAAGAGAGCATTTCCTTAAATGCTGATGTGAAAACTTTTATTACTTTAAATAGTCAGTAGTTCTTAAAGAACATCTGATAAGGGGGACTTACTCTCTGTTTTGAAGGATAAGAAATAACTACAGGAGTGTCAGTAAAAAGTAATAAGAACTGTGTAAATACTGCCTTTTGGTTGTGCTTGCATCTCTAAATGCGTATGACAGCGAGACCACTGAGCGGCTTAGGGAGCAGGGTCAGCACTGCCTTGACCCAAGAAGAGCTTTAAGCAAAGCCAAACTGAGCATTGCAATTCTGTCTTTTCCTAGTGCTGTTTGCTGCGGGAGAGATCCCTGCCCTGCGGTCGCTGGCTCCCTTGGGGACGGGCGAGGAGGGATCAGCATTAGCAGTGTCTTGGCCTCATGCTTTTGGATTTAGAGAGCGTGTCCCCCAAGTCCTTCCGTGACTCTAAGTTTACTGATAATACTGGTGATCATTGAGGAAGGAATGTGGAGGCGTGAAACCTGGGGAGCAATCTGAGTGCATCCCAGTATGGTCTTTCGCTCACCTCGCTGAAGTCTGACGTGAGGTGACCTACTGAACGCTCACGGAGCTGAGCGGTCTCTTCCTTTGCTCAGTCCCTGAGGGTGAACTTTCTGCCTTTGTAAATGTTTTTTCATTTCCCTCGTGATTAGGTGGTGCCAAAACATTGCTCGTGCCCCGGCGGCGTGCTTCCTTGTCTGCCTTATGGACGGAATCAGTCAGTAACTGATCGCTGCCGTGAGTGCTTCGGGATGTGCCCAGCGTTAGCGTGGGGAGCTCTTAGCTACAGCAGTGAAGATTGTTGTTTTGTTTGGAAACCACGCAATCCTTTCCTCTCTTCATATAGCGACAGCCACTGTGCTGTAATTTGCGCTCTGCCTTTGCAAACCTTGCTAAACCTTACTGAGGGAGTGGTAGAAGCCTTGATAAGAGCCGTTTGCCGGGAGCCTGACCTGCCGCCTTGCCCCCTGACCTGTCGCTTTGCATTTGGTCCAAGTCAGATGCGGGATGTCTCGGCGTCTGCGCTTGGGCGGTTTGCCTTACTGTGTGGTGTCAGTGGGCATTTGCCAGAATGGTTCACATTTACACCCCCCAAAAGCGGAAGGATAAATTAGGCTCTTTATTCCTGTGACGTAAATATTATGCTAAATACCTCATGAGTGACAAAACTAAAGAGCTGGAAGCGCTTGCATGTGAGCGTGGCCGTTTCACAGCTCGCGACCAGCAGCTCTGTGACACCTCGCTTACACAGGTCAGTCAGCGAGGCACCGCCGTGCAGCAACCCACCAAAACGCTCACGCTGATTTGGACAAATTCGTGTTGAACAGCAAAATATTCATGTTCATTTCATGCTTGTGCAGAAATCAACTTTCTGCACCGTCAGGTTGTTTAAGCAGTTTTTTGAAATGTTTTTGTATGATATAAATGCATAAATAAATATATGACTATATAAATTTTTACCAAAAAACCTCAAATGAAAATGGAAATTATTACTTTATTGATGACTTCAAAAATATATTGTGGATGTGCATCTATAACAGGCATCTGTAAATTCCTTTACCTTTTTTCTGTGATTTCCAGTTCTCTGCATTTTCATAGCAAGTGTGTAAAAAATTTTGCTCCACGCAGTCCGCGAGTATTGCAGGTTGTTGAGCTTTGGCTTTTGTGGCTTTGTGCGTGTAAAGGAGACGAGAGAGGAGGACTCGGCATGGAGAATCCCTCTTGTCACTCGGTAGTGGCCCCAGCTGTTAGATAAAAGGGAAATCCTCGCCCAGTTTCACTGCAATCTCAACCAATGTAGAGTACAGAAAACTTGAGGCTAAGAGCAACGTAGCCATGGGAAAATGGAAAAATAATTGAAAGAATTCTGCCTCTTCTAGTAGCCTGACTATATTATAACCTGGGTCGGAGAACTCCTTAACAGTGATTACATTAGCTTATGTGACGTATCAAGATATTCGAAAAATTAGTGGCCTTAAAGACCAAACTGTTATAGTTGTGAAAGCTCCTCCAGAAACAAGACTTGAAGTGCCTGACCCAGTGGAGGTAAGGAGAACTTGGCTTTTCCTGCCAGCTTATATATCATTTTTCTATGGATTGAGAACGTGTGTTGTGAGTCTTACTGGGGTAACTGATGCCCAAGTTGGGTTATATTGGCATACAGTCCTGTATTCATCTGTCTTACAAACTTTGGAGGTTGTTTTTTTTAAAAGGAAGGGGAATCTTTAAAAATCACTTTACACAAAGTAATCATTATTTGTTTTCTCTCAATTCCAGCTTTCTTTTAGTGTAATCCACACTATTTACAGATTGTTCTCTTTTGCCATACTTTATGTAAAGAAGAGCTCTTCCTTGACAGTTGAAATTTCCTGTTTGTAGTCACGTAAAATGTTTCTCTTAAGAGATTCAGCTCTTTTTTTCATAGCTTTATGTAGTTTTAAAGTTCACAGATAACTCAATGCCTTAAGCATCTTGGTGACTCATATTACTGATATCGTAATTTATTGAGACATATGATTTCATGTAGGATTTTCTTTTCTGAAGTATTACAGTTATTGTCGAAACTTGTGTTTTACTCCTAGAATCTATTCTTGCCCTTCTTCCATCATCATCTTTGCTTCATTGGCACTGATTTTACACATCTGTGTAAAACTTTATACATTCTGCTAGTGCACTTTTTGTTTGCTATCGTGAAGTCTGTAGGGGAAGGGGATTTCCTTTCCTTTTTTGGCCATAAGTACTTCTGTTTCTGAAGCTGTCTGTGTTCATCTGTGTCCTTCTTCTGTTGCTCCTTGCTGCTCAAGCCAGTGTCTCTCTGAGTGCCAGCTTTTGTATGTGAGATGCCTGGCTCTCATTCTTTCGTCCTCATTTTGTTTCTTTTCCTTATCTCAGGTAGATGTCCAGGGTAACTTAGCTGCTTCTCTCTTCCCTTACCTGGTGTCACAGTTGCAAAGAAAAATGCTTCAGGTAGCTTTTCTTTGAAGATATCCTTAGGGACTAGCTTTACTTTTCTTCATTCCTCTTACAGTCTATGAACCCCATGGTTCAGCTTCTCCTAAGGATTTTTATCTCTTAGTGGCAAAAGTGAGCTGCTTTACAATTCCCAGTTGTTACGGCAGACCCGAGTGTGCTGGGCAAATGTAAATAATTTGCACGAGCCACTGCTTTAGAGATTCAAAAATGTACCTAGTTTCTTCTGTCAAGGAGCAATTAGACATAGGGCTAAACCCCAGAAAGCTCCATGCTGTGTTCATACCTCCACGGTATTCCTTCATCCCTGCTGTTGGGCTGATTCCACCGAGCCCAGGGCCGCCTGCTGCCGGGCGGGCAGGAGCAGACTCCATATTCCCTGCCACTGCTTTTCCGAAGATTATTCTGCACTTGCTTAGGCCCATTACAGTTTCCATCCTTTTTTCCCCTGCCTTTGTCCTTAATTTCCCCTTTGAACCTAGGTTTTGGAAGAATAAATCATTTTGCTGCAGTGAGGAAGGGATATGTTTTATCAGTATCCATAAATATATACTGTTATCGTTGCTTGCTTTCCTGTTTCTTTCCCCTAGGCATTGTGCTTTGATTTTTAATTCGGTGAAATCAGGCGGGCAGAGAGAGATGCACACAGTCATTAAAACTAGCGCCTAGACCTCCCTTATCCCCTATACCCAACTTACTTATTTAATTTTCAGCTTCGGGCAGTAGAAGCCCTATTTCTTTCCCTCATTTGCAGTTATATTTCAGTGTCTCTTTTTTGCATACCTAGCATTGCCCTAAGTACTCTTAACTGTTCTCTGTGCCCTGGGGTATCCCTCTTCAGTTGTTGTTCTCTGTATTTGTAAAGCTGTCTATTATGCTACATAACTGTCAGAATGCAAATAATATGAGGAAATTTTGTCAAAGGGCAGAATCAAATATATTTGAAAGAAGTCTGCAAAAGAGGTATATAATGCCTGTATTCATGCCTTTTAAAACTATTAATGCGATACAGCTGGAGGTTTATTTTTAACTAGAGTAATTTACGATTTTCCATCATAACACTAAGAGCAACTTTGCAGATTCGCTGTCTGCTTATATATGTCATCTTGTTGTATTGCATCACTGTGTGCATGTTAAGAAAAATAATTTCTGGAGATGAATTAGGAGTTCCTGTTACTCAGAAACACCATCAAGATCAGAGTTGCTGCCTTGAGGGGGCAGGAGGGCTTATATAAGCAAGTTTGGGTGAAGAAGATGGCATCTTTGTTCTTTTTTTGTTATTTGGAAAAACTTCCCTGATAAACAGGGGAACTTACATGCAGCTATTTGAGTGCAGTCTGAATTAGTGCTGAAGGTTTTTGGGTGAGCGAGGAGGATTCTTTTAAAGCAGAAACATTTACATAAATATGTCCAATAATATTGTTATGAATAATAACAAAACCCGTGACTTGTATCCCGTAGTTCCATTACAGCAGAATGCTCTGGGTTATTACGGTTGTAAGAAAATGTTAGGAGTTCAGTCCCTTCTACCTCTCTGGTTACGATCCACCACATAAGATGGCGGGCTTCTGAGCTTTCTGCACTACAGACAGTGGGGAAAAGCTTTTATGCCCTCTTCCAGTCTACAAGACACATCAGCCAAGCCTTTCACATCTTCCAAGAATTGCATGGGGGATTTCAGGTCCTTTTGATTAGTAAAAAATGTATTCAAACTGGAGCTCACACTCCAGCAAGAATTTACTCCGTCGTCTATGTTCGGTCGTGTTGATTGGTGTAACACCTTACGGGCGTTTGTTTTGTCAGCAGAGTGCACTGATACACTTATCTAGTACTCAAGGACCGATTGAAGTTTATCTGTGCCCAGAGGAAAACGATGCCCTCAGTCCAATGAAAACCTATAGCCAGGACCACAACGGAAATATTTCCAAAACCATTTCCAAAGGTAAAAATATTTCTTTGTAATACTAACATCCTTCCTGTGTGCTCTCATTCAAGATTTCATCTTGAACTTCAGACATCCAGCTCTTATGTTTTGGCTTTATTTTTCTAAGAAGTGAAAAGCTAAGGAATCTGTTTCCCACCGTGCTTTTCTGGTTTATATAGGGGGAAATAGGTTTTCTTCTGCATGAGTTGTTTAAAATAAGTTTCATATTTGCAGATCATACTGAACCATGTAAGCTAAGCTTATGCAATATTGAAGAAAGAAATGACTTTGTTCCTTTTGCGTTTCCAAATAGGACAGTGGCAGCAAAGATCTGCCTGAATACAAGAGGTGGAAATCTCTGTGCATGGGTAGATGCAGCTACGCAGTGTCTCCGATGCATCTGTTGTCTAGACAGTTTTCACTTTGGCTATGAATTCCACTGAAAAATGGGCATCTCTCACTACTCTTGATTTCTTTTTATTTTTCCCCAGTAGTTACTTAAACCTTGTAAAATAATTTTTTAGTAGAAAAGTCAATGGTGGTAGCAATGTGTATTTCTGAGCGGCCCTTTGTAACGTATGAAAAACTAGCTAGAAATTATATGGAAATGGAATCATTGTTTTATCTTTTTAAAGCCATCCGTTTTTTGTAGAAATGATGCTTTACGAAAGGCCCTTTATGCAGTGGTTACTTTGCTTGATCTGTGCCTGATATTTCTAAGGAGATGAAATGTGTCATCTTTATTTTTTCTCTCCCTCCTCTTACAGAAGTGGCTTCTGCCAACTCAGGACAAGGTGACTGCTCAGTAAATATGGCAACAATCTCTCCATTGGCTTCTCCAGCCAACCTTCTCCAGCAGACCGAGGATCAAATTCCCTCAAACTTTGAAGGACCATTTGTGAATTTGCTGCCTCCTCTGCTTCAGGAAGATTATTTGCTGAGCCTCGGGGATGAAGAAGGCATCAGTGACCTCTTTGATGCTTATGATTTAGAGAAGCTTCCTTCATTGGTGGATGAATTTATATACAGCTGATTCTCTTAAATGCTGTCCATATCTAAATTGCGTTTTTAATGGAATCAAAAAACCTGCCGTCATTCAGAGTTGTCCCTTACTGTAAATTAGCATTATTAAATAAACTAGGCTCTCCAACAGTGCTGATATTTTAATTAAATACTCCCTAAAATACCATAAAAAGCAAGCGAAGGCTTTTACAGCAAGGCCTTCTCCTTGACCCTGAGCTCCAGCGCCTTGTGAGTCAGCGAGTGCAAGCAGGGGACCGTAAATGTTTTGTCTTCACACTCCCCCAGTCTCTGCTTACCGTGACAAGCGGGCTCACGGAGAAGGGCTCAAAGAACTCGTCTAGTCCTAAACAACAATTTTATAACCGTATTTCAGGTCGTGCCTTCTGCAGAGAATGCATGTCTTTTGAGTGTCGCAACGTGGATTGTACCTGCCGTGAACATAAATATGAAGTGATGCGAAAGCGTGAAATGGGATTCTTCAGCTACTTGTGGGAATGTTTAAATTGCTGTCATAATGCTCATTTTGAGCTGTGTATATGTCTCATTATGAGGTCAAATACTTATGTCCTTAAAAGCTTTTAATAAAAAAAAATACACTGTAAATGTAGTGTATATTGCAAATATTGAAAAGTATAAAGTTCTGCCACTTCTCGTAGTAATCACAGATTTTTTAAAATGCTTGTGTGTGCGCGTGCGTGTGAAAGTAGGTTTTGTTGGTTGTTTTTTTAAACTAGAACGAAGATGCACAGTTCAATTTTACTGCCCCCAGTGTGCATTAGAACTGGTACATAAATTTTTGTGGTACTAAGTGGGGCTTTGTGTTAAGTGCCTACTAGAGATGCACTGTGGGTTTTTCCCTCTATGGAAAACACTTATGCCAAGCTTTGTTTGTTCAATAGATCATATTTATCTCAGTGGGTTCGCTTCCTCCGCTTACAGCTTTTTATAATTCTCTTCGCCAGCAAAATGGAACTAATTTTTTTCCAAAGTACATAACTGTAAGTACCACACCAACTGAATTGCATTTATTTTTTGAAGATCTTTGGTAGTATAGTATAGTACCAATATTTATTTTTTAAACGTGAGAGGAATTCTAAGAAGTCTTAAATAATTTTCGTTTTTGAGTGTAAAATATGTTGCCATGTTCCGGGCTAAATTAATGTAATGTTGATTAGATGATGCCCATATAATCCTTTTGTTTGCATTACTATTGTGCTTATCTGACATACTCAGAAAATTAGTACTATTTGTACTGTAGTAGAATATTATGTATGCAGGTTTTCTGGTACCATTGAGTTGCTGCTATGAAAACTCACACATGAAAAGGCAAGAAGTCACAGTACTAATGAGAAAACTGTATGACTGTGTGAGTTTTGGAATATAACAAATGTATAAAGGGCAACACATAAAGAACTGTTAAACAGTGTTAAGTGTGTGTTTATATGTACAAATGTGTGCATAGATCATTCAGCAGTTGTATTTAAGTTGATGTATGTTCTCAACTCACACTTTAGTTATCTAGCAGTTTTGTACAATAGAATTAATTTGTAAACACTGCCAGAATATTTTCTAGCTGGTTTGTAATTTTTTAAGAGTTTTTTTAGATGTGGATCTGTAAATAAAATTGTAGTATTTAAAGTTTTCGTCTTGTGGAAGAGGAAAGTAAAAGTTGTGTGAGCATGAAGATTTCAGAGACAAAGGGGCACTTTTGCAGGGGAAGAGAAAATGAAGACTAACGCAGACCATCTTTTTTTTTTTTGTACAAATTAAACACTTGTCCCAATGTGTGTGGGCAAAATACTAAACTAATTTAGCTTTGCATTGTATGCTAGTTTAAAAAAAAAACACCAAACCTCTGTAAAATACTGTAAAAAAACAAACAAACAAACAAAACAACAAAAAAAGCTTTTATGGTGAGTTTTGTAAATAGATTTATTAAAGGATGGCCTGTTCTCTAGCTGTGATCTTACCACTTCAAATGGATGTAATTTGAATAAATTTTGTATGGTAATGAATCAATAAAAAGGATTTTTTAAAGAGTTTAGATCTGTATACAGCTATTTAAATTCTTCTTATTCTTGGTGCCTATCACACTGCTTCCTGGAACCTAGCTGTTACTATTTGCATTATTAGTGCTCACACTCATTTGACACCAGGTATGTTTCAATCTCATTTTTTTTTTATTATGCTAACAAATAAGTTCAGCGAGTTTTTTTTAAGCCAGAGTGAAGCAAGAATAACAGACACGTGTAAAGAGACATAGCAGGAGATCCAGAGGTTGGCATAACACAGGTTTATTTTTATTTATTCCCCCCTCATGAATAGACTTCTTGCAGACTTTACAGAAAATGGGTTATTCTAGGATTAAATGCCATCAAAGCCATTGTTGAGGATCTGTTTCACCTTCCTACGTACAATTCTCCAGAAGTCTCCTAATAGTAGCTTTGAAAAGAAGGGAGTTGTGTTCACTTGAGCTACCTCCAACGGTCTCTTGGACCAGACACGTATTTACAAACCTGTACTCTGTTTCTGGTCTTGGTGTTGCACCTTTCTAGATGCAGGGCCGTCATTTACTGAAAGAGAAAAAAACTATCAGTATAATAAAATCACAGTAATATAGCGTTTGGTGAAGTGTTACACTTCTGAGCAAGTCATACGTGTCTCCTCATCTTCGCTGCACACAAGAAGGTGGCAACAGTTTTATCTCTTCATGCACCTGTCCATACTCTAGCTTCTGCACACAGCAGTACTGAAAGGAGGATTACAGAGAAGATCCTCTATTCTTCTGTATTCCCAATATATAATAAAGGAGGGCTAGAGGACTGTGTCCTCTGATCTCCCTTTGAAGCAGAGTGACAATAAATGTCCTCTTTCTGTCCCATCTGTTGTAGCTTCCTGGCCTCAGTTTCTCTGTTCTACAGCTGCCATACGCACCTAGAATGTACTCACGCCAGTTTTCATGTCATTTTCTCTTCTCCTTCTGCTTTCAGTATCTGCTTTGTAAATTTTGGATGTGCTGAGTTGCAGGAAAAAACCCCCAGCCGGTTAAAATACCTAATTCTGCTCCCCTGAGCTAGCGCAGTGTACCTCGACATTATTCAGTGTACAAATATTAGTTTCAGAGGGGTTTACTGGCGCCCGTATGTGCTGCATTCCTTGGCTTCCAGCAGATGGAAAATGATTCCGAGAAATCTGTCAAAACCGGCCTGAGTGACAGGCAACTACACGCTCCTCTACACACAGGACAGGAGTTTAAAAAAAAAGGGGGGGGGGTGTGTTCCTGCCCTTGAACCTTCAGTGAGAACTCATCCACCTGCAAATGACAGAAGCCATCACGTTCTATTCTTTTTGACTTACACCCGAAAGACTAAATTACACCATTGTCTTGATGCAGACACGGACATTTTTTTGTAGTAGGAAGAATGCAAGATACGTAAGGTACTTTTTGTAGCATGAGACATTGCTCTATGCTTAAACGCACCAAGTTTGGCAGTAGATGCCATTTTTTTCGGGATGTAACACAGTTAATGCACAACGCTGCTGGGGCTCCTGGAGCCAGCAACTCTGAATACCAAATGAAGCAAGAGCCCGTGTAGCAAAGTCAATGGAGCGATAGTCACAAAAGCATCACCAAGTAGAATTCATCTCCCCATTTGGATTTTCTTGCTGAAGCAAGATCTGCCTGGGCATCACTTCGCAGCTAAGCAAAGAGCAGCAGAATGCTTTGCCTTTCCCAAGTTTGGGAGTGTCTTCACCCACTTTTTCCTTTCTAAAGCTTGACAGAGAGAAAATGTCATATCTAAGAAAAAAATGGGTTGCTATCACTTCTGAGCAATGCTGAACGCTGCTGACAAATGAGCAGCCAGATTCTCCTAAATTGTAAGAATAGAGGAAGAAATCTAATTTCCTGTATCTAACTTTAGGACTCACCATTTTTCTCCTGCATGCCTTCCCACTTACTTTTCCACCCAGAATCGCCTGTTAGTTATCAGCAAAAGCCTGTTACACAAAAATAAGGCCCTCCCTTCCTCAGCTGCTTCTCCTCCTTGAGAGCGTTAGCTGAGATGCTCTAAAACAACGAAGGACGTCTCTTCTGCTAACCATGAGCTAAAACTGAGGTCTGCGTTTTATCTTCCTAGTAGTTTTTGTATTTTCCAACTACCTGCTCCTGCTAATCGTGTACTGACTGAAGGTGGTAACCCAGGCTGAGGCCTTGGAGCCTACCACCTCTGCAGAGCAGCAAGTATGGCGTGCAGGCAACGCGGAAAGGATGCGTTCTAGAGCTGCTGTTTGGGCGTCCAAGGAACTGGAGGATGCACATTGCCAGTCTATAAAAGGCCAGTGCTGGGACTCGCACTGCCAGCCGCTGTCCCTTGAAACGCAGTTTTGCCAGGTGGGTGTAGATGAGCTTTCTTCCTGCAGTCAGGAGGTGGTAGGCAATCATCTGCTTCCCTTCCTACCCACCGCACTACCGGCAGTCCGCGTGCAGCTTGATTCGCTGTGATCAACACGCTACAAAGCAATTTAGATTTGCGAGCTTCAAGAGCCTTCCATGTTGTGGCTACATCCTAGGCCCCAACAGGACTGTGCTGGCACAAGGGGTGCTTGGTATTAGGAATTCTTGGCAGCGGGACAAAGTAAG